GATATACCACTTCTATTTAATGATGGAGTGCTGCTCTGCACGTCCAACTTTATGATTCTCTGGGTCAGACAACACCCAGTTCATGATGGGCAGCTCAAGCCTCATGGTGACTTGGTAGTCCATGGTTAAGCATTCAGTCTCTACTAAAGACTAGTAACAAGCCAAAAACTGTTTCTCAAAAGGAGAGTAGTTATCTGCAGAGGATGGCAGGGCTTTGCTCCAAAATCTCAAGGGTCTGCATTGTGATTCACCAATTAGGACCTGCCAAAGACTCCAAACAGCATTTTTGTCTACTACAGACACTTCAAGCACCATTGGATCAGCCAGACCATATGGCTCAAGTGGCAGATCAGCTTGCATGGCAGCCTGAACCTGTTGCAGAGCCTTCTGTTGTTCTGGGCTCCACTCAAAACTAGCAGCTTTCTGAGTCACTTGATAAATAGGCCGCAGCAACACACCCAAATGGGGGATATGTTGCCTCCAAAATCCAAAGAGGCCCACCACACATTGTGCCTCCTTTTTAGTTGTGGGGGAAGCCAGATACAATAACTACTCCTTCACTTTAGTAGAAATATCTCAACATGCCCCATACCATTGAACCCCCAGAAACTTCACTGAGGTGGAAGGTACCTGAATTTTTGTCAGGTTAATTTCCCAACCTCTACCATGCATAGGTCTCACCAATAAGTCTAGAGTCATCAATACTTCTTCCTTACTAGGTCCAATCAGCATAATGTCAACAATATAATGGACCATTGTGATGTCTTGTGGAAAGGAAAGGTGATCAAGATCCCTACGGACTAAATTTGATATAGTGCTGGGGAGTTGATATACCCTTGAGGAAGCACTGTGAAAGTACACTGTTGGCCTTGTCAACTGAAGGCAAACTGCTTCTGATGGTCCTTTGAATTTGGTATTGAGAAAAAGGCATTGGCCAGATAAATAGCTGCATAGCAAGTACCAGGAGATGTACTAATTTGCTCAAGCCATTGCTTCACATCAGGAACAGCAGCTGCAATTGGAGTCACCACCTGATTAAGTTTATGATAATCTACTGTCATTCTCCAAGATCCATCTGTTTTTTGCACAGGCCAAATAGGGAAATTAAATGGGGAAGTGGTGGGAATCATCAACCCTGGATCCTTCAAGTCCTTGATCATGGCAGTAATCTCTGCAATCCCTCCAGGGATGTGGTATTGCTTTTGGTTTACTATTTTTGTAGGTAGAGGCTGTTCTAATGGCTTCTACTTGGCTTTTCCTACCATAATAGCCCTTATTCCACATGTCAGGGACCCAGTGTGGGAATTCTGCCAATTGCTCAGTATATCTATTCCAATTATGCATTCTGGAACTGGGGAAATAACTACAGGATGGGTTCGGGGACCCACTGGACCCACTGTGAGACATACCTTAGCTAAGATTCCATCAATAACTTGACCTCCATATGCCCCCACTCTGATTGGTAGGCTACAATGACGCTTTAGGTCTCCTGGAATTAATGTCAGTTCAGAGCCAGTGTCTAGTAATCCCTAAAAAGTCTGATTATTTTATTTTCCTCAATGAACAGTAACTCCCATAAAAAGCCTCAGATCCCTTTGGGGAAGGCTAGGAGAAAGACTGACATTATAGATTTTTGGAAATGTAGTGGGGTTCTTCCTCAAAGGGACCTGGCCTTCCCTTCCTTCAAGGGGTTGTGGGTCTGTAAACTGACTCAAGTCTGGGAATTAATTGAGAGGTTGTGACTCTCTATTCTGGAGATTCAAAGTAGGCTGCTGTTCATGTGACCTAGAATTCTTCTGTCTATACAGATCAAGTAAATATTTAGTAGGTTTGTCATGTATTTCACTCCTAGGAACACCATGACTAAGTAGCCAATGCCATAATTCCACATGAGTCAGAGAATTCTGATTACTGTTTTGACTCTGCTGTCCATTATGGTAACCACACCCACCTTGCAGCAGTCCATTAACTGCTGCCACTTGGCCCCTACTACCACGGGGTCCAATCAGCCCCATCATAGTTAAGTGTTTTAGTTCAATTAGGGCAGTTCCCACTGTCAAATAAGGATTACATAAAATAGCAATCACAGCAGTCTTCAAGGATGCTGGAGCTCCCTTCACAAATTTATTCCTCACCATAATGGTGAAAGGTATGTCTTCTGGACTCTCTATTTCTGGCTCTAGGGATTAATCTGATAAATCCATTCTAACAGGCCAATTTCCCTAAACCTCTGAATATCTTCTTCTACATTAAACCAAGGCAGGTCTGGTACTTCAACTTTACTTAAGGTAGGCCCCCGGATAATCCATGCTTCAGTAAGTCAACCAAATAAACTATTAAATCCTTTCCTAACCTCTTGAGCTGAAACATTGAATGAAGAATCTGTACTTAGTTGGCCTTAATCAATAAACTGAAACTGATCCAATGTTACATTCTTTGCACCATTATCCTACACCCTGAGTAGCCATTCCCATACATATTCTCCAGGTTTCTGTCTGTACATGTTAGCAAAATCAAGAAGGTCTTTTTGGGTGTCATGTACCACCTCCTCAGTCACACTTTCTGTTTCACCTTTTGGGGCTCACTTGGACTTAACTTTAGTTATAGGTCTAGCAGCAACAATGGGTGGCTGGGGCAGTTCCTGAGAACATTCAGCACTGTCTTCCATGGCCTCTGCCTCAGGGAATGACCCAGCAGGAACAGCTGGGTTAATCCCATCAAACTGAGGTGGAGGGGTTAATGGTTTTACAGTAATCCTTTCAGATGGGAGGGATTCAACAGGATTTTCAGGCTCCATGTCCTGATCTTCCTGACTATCTGCCCATATGTTCCCATTCCAGATTTCAGGATCCTGTTTTTTTCCCAATCAATGCCCTCACTTTAACTTCAGACATCATTCTGGGTTGGCAATTTAATTGGCATTGTAATTCAGCCACCTTTACAATAAGACTCTGGGTTTTTGTTGTTGTTGTTGTTGTTGGTTTTTTGGGGGGGCAAGATCAGCTCCATTACTAGAAGAAATAAGGCTTTCTTTCAAAGTACAACTGGAAACATTGAGGTCTTTTATGTGGTGCTTAAGCTGTGTGACTCAGCAGCCCTGAACTCATCATGCTCTTTCATCACTTTGTCTAGTGTAAGTAGGACCAACTAACCAACTTCTTTATACTCCTCATGCTGACAAAATTGCAGGAAAGTATCTAATATTTGATCACCCAGAGCCTCACTTCTCACAAGTACTTGATCCATTGGTGGCACTATTTTGCATATTAATATTGTCACCTCATGCCACAGATTAGCAGGGCCCTCTTTACTAATGGAGGCAGAGTCACTAGTGCCTTTATAATTAAGCAAATTGGAGAACCAATTTAGGAAGCCCATTCTTATGATTTTGTCTCTCTAGAACCACTCCCAGTACCAAGTGTGTTAGACTGGGTTCTCTAGAGAAGCAAAACCAATAAAGCTGAGAGAGAGAGAGAAAAAAAATTATCTTGGGAAAATGGCTCACACACTTATAGAAGCTGGCAAGTCCCAAGTTCTTGGATCAAATGTCAAAAAGGAGGCTTTTCCTGACTAGCTCAAGGTTGGCAGGCAGTGTACTGGCTGTTGACGCCAATGAATGATGAATTCAAGATCTCCAGGCCGAATGGTGGATTGTTCACTCACTGACTGATGTAGGCAGCACAACAGAAACCTGATTCACAGAAGAATGCCCCTTTTCCTAGGATGTCCATAAATATATAAGAAGCAGGCCACACCCCTAGGAAAACTCCCTTTCAACGGATTGGCCACTCGAAACATATACATCTGATCCCATCATGGGAACAACCCACATCACAATTGTGTAAACCATCCAGAATTGTGGTCCAGCCAAGTTGACACACAACTCCAACTACCATAGCCATAAAAAAGAATGAACCACAGTAACATAGGTGAATCTCAAAACTGTTAAGCTGAATGAAAGAAAGACATGAAGACTACATACTGTGTGATTCCATTCACTTGACATTCTGGCAAAACAAAACAGAAAGTGGATCGGCAGTTGCCTGGGGCTGAGTATGGGGTGGATGGTTAATAAGAAAATGGCATGAGGGGTTTTTTGGCTGATGGTCTATTTAATGTCTTCATTGTGGTACTGGTTGCCTGACTGCCAAATATTGGAAAGGATAAATTTTATTATGTGTAAATTATACCTCAAGAGAGTAAAAGCTCAACAAGGAAGAAAAAATACCAAAGTGAAATAAGTATAGTTACTCAGACTAAACCCCATCACATAGTGGAGAGTAGAGCACAATTTCCAGGCCTGGCTTGGCCCATTTCCAGCATCTAGAAGGACACTTACATATAGAGATAATGTCCAACTTGTCTCTCCATAGGCCCATGTGGACTTCCATGATGCAAGTGAAATATTCTCAGAGCAGCCCTGCAAATTGGTACACCCATGCTTACACTGCACCATTACAAGATGTTGGACTGAGAACTTAAGGGAAACCAGGCATCCAGCCCACCAGAAATCTAAATGACTCTGTTCCTCATTCTGTTATTTTGGTTTTGAAAAACCAGAAAGTGTTCTGGAAATTAGCAGTCCTGGCAGGGTAGTTTGGAGAACAAACAGAGGAGTTTGCTGATGGGTAAGGGGACACTAGTGTGGGGTGGGGTACTGAGAGATGAGCGACAAATGTGCTGCATGTGTCTTTTTCGCAGGTGAAAGTTCCTAAGGGTTATGAAAGCAATTTGCTTTTCTATGCTACCTGCAAAATTGCTCTTCCTGCAGGGAAGATTCTTGAACTTGCATGTTCCTTACATGTTCCTAGAATTCCACCTTAAAACAAGCTGTGTGTACTTGTGGCCAACATCTCCTCACAGAAAATTTTACTTAAGAGATGACACACTGCAGTTGGAGCCTGCTTATCCACATCTGGAGGCCACATGTCAGCGCCAGTTGTATAAAACGACCAGCCCAGAAAACCCAGGCTGACTTATTTTTCCAGAAGCCAGACAGCATGGACCTCACTCTTCTGTGGGTGCTTCTACCACTGGTCACTGTGGCCTGGGGCCAATATGGTGACTATGAGTATCCATATCAGCCATATCATGATTACAGTGACGATGGATGGGTGAATCTGAACCGGCAGGGCTTCAGCTTCCAGTGTCCCCAGGGACAGGTGGTGGTAGCTGTGAGAAGCATCTTCAGCAAGAAGGAAGGTTCTGACAGACAATGGAACTATGAGTGCATGCCCACACCTCAGATCCTCGGGGAGCCTACCGAATGCTGGTGGGAGGAGATCAACAGGGCTGGAATGGAATGGTAAGGGACAACGCTCTGCACAGCCCCCCTCTGTGGGTTTCTTGACCTTCAGGGAATAACAGTGCCTAAAATCTGGGCAAATCCTACTAGGAGCCTTACTATGCATGCTCTGGGTGGGGCAGGGCTGCTGCAGAGTGGACTTTGTTACAGAAAAAAGCCCAGGATGGGTAGTGTCCACGGCAGACAGGACTCTTTTGTGCTTTTGTTCCTTGTAGAAGTAGCCCCACTCATTGTCCAGAGACTAGAATGGGTGTATAAAATGTTTTTATCATCTTGCAACAAGATAAATACAAAACTTAAAAATGTTTAAAAACTTTTATAACAATTTAGCATTGTCATCTGTCTTCATTATCTAGTGTTGCAACAGAAATGCCACAAGTAGGTGGATTTAAAGAACAGAAATTTATTTCCCACAGTTCAGGAAGCTAGAAGTCAGAATTCAGGACACTGGCTTTAGGGGAAGGTTTTCTCTCTGTCAACTCTGAGGGAAAATCTTTGTATCTTCCAGCTTCTGTAGCTCTGGAGTTCCTTCGTTCCTTGGTGATCTTCACATGGCATCTATCTGATCCCCTCCCTGCCCCACTTGTGCTCTCTTCTGTGTCAAGCCTGCTCTTTTAATAACTCAGAAGTGATTAGGTTTAGGGCACATCTTGCATTGATATGGTTTTATTAAAATAACAAGGAAAATCTTATTCCCAGATGGGATTACAACCACAAGTACAAGGTTTAAGATTCCAGCATTTGTGATTTGGGGAGCACAATTCAATCCATAACAACATCCAAATGAAACTTTAAGTTTTGAAGTAACTTACTTTTATTTTTCTATGAAGGTATTGGTCCACAAAATTTGAGAAAAATAAACAACTGGCCCTGTGCCACAAAGATTTTGCGAAATATTGATTTAGAGCAAAGGGATAGAGGAGAAGGGAGAAAGAAAACACAGCAAAGAAATGTGAAACTAAATAAATCTCTGCTGCCTTTATTAAATGTGCTTTCTCAGTTATGATGAGTGGATTTCAAACGGATACCAGTGCTAGAACATAGTTTACTGAAGGCTTTTAGAGAGAGGTGCTATCCTTGCCTAACTGTTGTTGTTGTTGTTATGTGCCGTCGAGTCAAACCCGACTCATAGCGACCCTCCTTGGGTTTCCGAGGCAGTATCACTACGGAAGTAGAATTGCCCAACCTTCCTTCCGAGGACTGGCTGGTGGGTTTGAACTGCCAGCCGTCTGGTTAGCAGGCAAGTGTCTTAGCCACTATGCTACCAGAGCTCCCGTCCTAGAACTAACTAGTGACACAGAATCGGTCAGAACCTGCTCTTCACTGTGGGGTGTGACTGTCCTAGCTAGGTCCCAGCCCAGTTCTGGGTCAAGAGCTCATTCCAATAGTCATTGCCTCCTAGGTTATTGGGTCTTACATTTTGTGACTCTTCATCAATCTTCTCTGAGAATGGGGAGAGAAGGAGAGATCACTTTTTCTGGTTAAGAACTGCCTCCCCTTCCACAGGACAGGCCAAACCACCAGTTGCCATAGAGCCAGCTCTGACTCATGGTGACCTCATGCATATTGGACTAGACCTGTGCTCCATAGGGCTTTCAGTGGCTGATCTTTCTAAAGTTAATCATCAGTTCTTTTTTTTCTGAGCTACCTTTGGGTGAACTCAAACCTCTAACCTTTCCATTAGTAGCTGGCTGTGTTAAATGTGTGCACCATCCAGGGACAGCATGTATTATCTGTGAGCAAGACTTAAGTATGGTTCCAGGAGGCACTTGGTAGAGTGGGGCAATGGATCATGGTAAGGCATAAAACCTTGGGGGTCACTCATTTAGTAGACAGAACAATAATAAGTCAAAAAAAAAAAAAAAAAAAAAAAACCCACTAGAGGTCTAGAGGAGCTCTGGTAGCGTTCTGGCTAAGGCACTTGACTGCTAACCAGAAGGCTGGCGGTTCAAACTCACCAGCCACTCCTCAGAAGGAAGGTTGGGCAATCTACTTCCTTAGTGATACTGCCTCAGAAACCCAAGGAGGGGTCACTATGAGTCGGGTGCGAATCGATGGCAAATAACAACAACAACAACAGAGGTCTAGAGATCCAGGCAAGAGAAGGGGCCTCTGAGAAATAAAAACAGCTACCATTTGTGGAGTGCTTACCCTGAGCAGACTCCATGCTAAGTGCTTTATGTGCATTATCTCAGGTAGTGCTCAAAACAAATCTAGAAGTGAATTTATAAGTAGATGACCTTATGTAAAACACAGTGACCAGGTATTTTCTCAGTAGGAATGTGTTAGAGCAGGGACTTGCATCCAGCGAGTCTTAACTCCAAAGCCTATATGCTCCTTGAGAGAGGGCTGCCTCTGCCCAGTGTGAGCTCTATATCAGCAGAACCAGGGCTACAGTGCTGGTCTCAGGGCAATTCTTTAGGCTGGAAGAAGATGGAGGTTGGTAAGATCCCTGGAGGGATGGGGCCATGGGAGAGGTGGAAAGAGAGGTCACACAGATGCTGGGCTGGGGCTACCCAGTTGCTTGTATATTTATTGGGTCCTCCTTATCCACCACTACTGCCTCTGGTGAGTGGATTTAATTATCCAAAACCTCTTCTGAAAAAATAGCTGTTTGACTCAGAGTCTGGGGTGCCAATGACTATGTGGAACAAGATGGAGCTGGAATTTTCTAGTAAGGCAAAGCTGTAGAGTGATGGAAGGAGGATTGGTCTTACAACCAGAGAACTTGGATTCACTCACTTTTTCTATCAGTCTTAGCTCTGTGGTCTTGGACATTGAGTTCCTCATCTGGCAAAGAGAGATCATGATGCCCACCTCACAAAATGTTAGAGGATATTGCTGTATTGCTTAAAAGAGTATAAGTGAAAACATCTGCCACATCACAGACAGTCAATAAAGGTTTAGTGAATCCAAGATTTGAGGAAGCCAACTTGGGGCCAGCCAGCTCTAAATGGAGTCTGAATTAAGAGAAAGAATGTTCTGTTTATTGGTTTTTGCTTTTTTTCCCCTGGCTTCAAAAGATCCCTAGAAGACATTTTAAAATGGTAGTTCTTATTAGAGCTCACTATTTGAATTAATGAATTCAAAACAAGGCAAGCCATTAGACTAAGAAGAGGAAGAAGGAAAACTGCTCCACTGAGCTATTTAAAATTAAGGTCAATCTGAAGCTGGATATGTTGGGCAGAAGGAGCTGTGATGGTGCAGTGGTTAAGGCATTTGGTTCCTAACCAAAACGTCAGTGGTTTGAACCCACCAGCAATTGTGTGGGAGAAAGATGTGACAGTCTGCTCCTGTAAAAATGTATAGTCTTGGAAACTCCACAGGGCAGCTCTACTCTTTCCTAGGGTCACTATAAATTACAATTGACTTGATAGCAGTGAGTTTAATTTTTGTTTGTTTGTTTGTTTTGTGTTTTTGAATAGTGAGCAGAAAATCAAAGTTTTCCATAATCTGACTGTAATTAAGACCAAGACTCTGTATAGTGCGAGCAGGCCTTCTATTTCATAGCTCTGAGTATTCGTTACACAGCACCTGCCTCCTTAGAAAGGCCTTTCCAGACCACCTCCTCTAAACTAACACCCTTTACACTCTATGCGCTCAACCTGTTTTATGTTTCCTTCAGTTTACTTGCCATTACATGGTTTCTATTTAACTGTTTACCATTGTCCTTCACATCAAATGTTAAGTATTTGTGAACGGAGGGGCTTTGTCTCATTCACCACTGTATTCCCAGTCTCTAGAATAGCACTCGGTATATAGTAAACAAACAAAAAACCTATTGCTGTTGACTCATGATGGCCCATGTGTTACAGAGTAGACCTGAACTCCATAGCATTTTTTTGACTATAATCTTTACAGAGGAGTCTCTGGGTGACACAAACTATTAGTCACTCAACTACACCAAAAAGTTGATGTTCAAACCAACTCAGAAGTACCTGGGAAAAAGGCTTAGAGATCTGCTTGCAAAAGTTCACAGCCTTGAAAACCCTATGGAGCATAGTTCTACTCTATAATACATGGAGTTGCTATGAGTCAGAGTCAACCCAACAGCAACTAATTTGGTTTTTGGTTTAATCTTTGTGGAAACAGATTGTCAGGCCTTTCTCCATGATGCCACTAGATGGATTGAAACTGCCAGGGACCTTTGGTATATAATAGGCTGCCAATAAATATTTAACTAAAGAATACTCAGACTTGCAAGTTATAAATTATTGCTTCAGTCAGTTCAAATCCCAGCTAGTGGCCCTACCACCCTCAATAAAGAAGTCAACAGGTTTTCCCACAGGGGAAACTATTTTCTTTACATCTCTGACTTTCAATATCCAGGACTTATAATATAGGCCTCGGCTTCATTGACTGTATCTCATTTTGGTTTGTGGCATTTACCAAGATGCAAGATAGACTTTTTATACTTCCTGAGGAGCCCTAAAGGTCGTCGTTAGTATAGTAGTTAAAGCATTCACTACTAACCAAAAGGTGACAGTCCAAACCCATCAGCTGTCCGGTGGGAGAAAGATGAGGCAGTCTGCTTCTGTAGAGATTTACAGCTTTGGAAACCCTATGGGCCAGTTCTACTCTGTCCTATAGACTTGCTATGAGTCAGAATTGACTAGATGACAGTGGATTTGGTTTGGAGTCCTACAACATAATACAGAAGATGGCTGATGCACTTTGTTTCCTCATCATAAATTCTTATTGGACTTCCATTGTCCCAATAACTTTCATGTCTACATAATCTTACAAAATAGAATACTAAACTCTTCCTTTCAAAAGCCATAAGGATTAAATGCAATGAGATACTCCATGTGTTACAGACTAGAGCTGTTCCATAGGATTTTCTTTATGGAAACAGAGGCACCAGGCCTTTCTTTTGCAGTGCTACTGGGAAGGTTCAAACAGCCAACCTTTCGTCTAGTAGTTGAGCTAAAAACCTCTTGCACCATCCAATGACTTTGAGTTACTTATAATCTGATCTTATTTGATATTCACAACAATAC